CCCTCTCCCCCCTCCCCAAGCCCCAGGGCAGAATGGCATTCCCTTGGCAAGTCTAGCCCCCTGCTAAGCTGTGAGCACAGTGCCAGCCAAACTGCCCTCCCAGACAGATTACCAGCGTCTGCAGCTTGTCCTCCAGCTCCTGGTTGGTCCTCTGGGAAGCTGTGTAGCTGTTCTGCAGCCTGTAGAATACAAGGCAGACTGCTGGGTCAAGGTCCTGTTCTTCAGGCCCTGCTCAGCGTCTCCAAAAGGGATGCTGGGAAAGTCGTTCTCCTCCCTGAACTTCAGTTTTCTCAGCAGAATCAGATGACCTCTGAGGCCTCTTCCAGCTAACCCCCAATGAATGGGGAGACGCGTGCATGTGTGTCCCAGTCCCTCATTCCCATACCTGCGGAACTTGTCCTTAAATTTGTCTAGCTCCTCGCGGCTCTGGCCCAGCTCCAGCTCTAGGCAGTCCTGCCCAATTTCCAGCTCACGCTCCAGGGCCTCAGTGCGCCTGGTGGCCAAGGCTAGGCGCCTGCGAAGCTCCTCATTCTCCTGCTGCAACAGCCTGGCAGAGGAGGGGTCAAGGGCAGAGAGGCATCAAAGAGAGAAGGGCCAGCCCTGGAGCCCCAGGCTGGTCAGGAAGGACGGAGTAGGGATGACATGAAGACAGGCAACTAGGGGCAGGGGACTCCTTAAGACTCAGCCCTGCTGGCCCTGAGACCATAGCCTGGCTTGGGGGGGAGTGGGGTAGAAGGGATAGTAGATGGTAGTCCACCCCTCCCCCACTGGAAAAGAATGAGAAGACAGAATTGGGCGGGGGTACAATTCTCAGTCTGTCTCTGGTTACAGCCCAAGCCAGCTGGCCACCAAGCCCCCAGCTTCAGTTTCCCCACTGCACAATCGGCCTGCTCCATTATTAATCTCCTAGAAATCCAGCCCAGCACTGCCCTCCTCTCCAGAGGCCTCACGTGGCTAACAGAAAGGGCTCCTGGGAGGCAGCTGGCACAGGAGAGCCAGGAGCTGGGAAGGGTTTGCTGGCAAGAGCAGGCCCTCAGAGCCATCCCCTCCTTGATTCTAGGCTCTCTTACAGCCCATGGAACAAACCTTTTTTTCCAAAGGAATATCCACATCAAGCCTCCTCCCAGAATCGCTAAAACACCCCACCCCAACTGAACATTTACCTCTACCTAATCCAAGGAAAAGCCCAACTATACCAAGAGCCTTGCCTGGAGCTAAGAGGGACAGAGTTGAAGCAGGGCAGGCTCTTGGGCAGCAGATACTCACTTCATCCTCTCGGCGTCAGTCAGGGACTCCTGGGCACAAAAGAACAGAAGCTTGAGGCTCAGATCTAGACTACTGGCTTCCTGCTTGGCCCACCCTCCAAAAAGCCCTGGAAAGAGCCATTTCTGAAGCCCAAAGACTCTCTCAGCAGAAGTGGGCTGCAGTAAGTGCCCTATAGAGATGGAGACAATCCAGTAACTCCCAGGAAAGCCTAGATCACTCTTCCCATGCCAACTAGAAGATTCAAGAACCCCTCTCAACCCTCACCCTTACACACAACAGCTCAAAGGCCTAGAGCCAATTGCAAGTAAGTCCTGGTACCCATGCTACCTCTCCCAGGGATAAAGAGAGCCTCTCTCAGCCATTCACTGGGATCCTATGAAACCTGCAGGCAAGGCAGAGACCTTCCAGGGAAGTAAAGAAATCAGGCTGATATAGTAGGGCCCCGAGCTCTGACCATCAGGCAGAATCAGGCCCTTACAGAGGTTTGGGAGGAACAAGTGTGTGGACGAAGGAGAACTGCTGGGGTAATCCTGACTGAGGAGTGAAATGTCTGGTTTTGCTTTTAACCTCCTACCCCAGCCTCCCCAAGTCCCTACATTGGTCATGGCCCAAGAGTCAGGGCTCAGCCAGACACAAATCAGAGCAGCCACGTGCTATGGCTAGAGGGAAATGTCACTCCAAACTGAACTGACTGCTTCAAAAACCAGTCAGGGTTAGGAAAATGTGGTGGGTGACCCAGACTATGGACTCTGGAGCCACTGGCACTTGGATTTGATCCGTTTCTACCACACAGTGGTTATATTAACCTGACTGAGCCCTAGTATCCTCATCTACAAAATTAGGGCGCCTAGCACAATACCTGGACTTTTTATTTACTGCTCTCCGAGCTGAAATGGGCAAGTCATGGCATCTCTGCCCTGAATCTGACTGAAGTGGCCATGGTACCCTGATGCTCAGCATTTGCTGACGCTCTCTCAAATTCTGTAATGCGCTCCATGCACTGCCACAGGGGGAAACCCAGCAGCAAGGAGAATAAACCACCGCAGCATTCGTTTCCTGCTGTTAGTGAGCTTAACGAGGGACAATAACTAATGGATTTCACAAATGTCAGCCAAACAAAGCAAAGCTGGAGGAAGGGCCGGACTTCTGGGGATAGTGAGGAACAGCTGGTCTGGTGGAAGTAGCTGGAGCACCGCCTCCCCACAGCCCCCAGAGGGGCCGCAGATTAAACAACTCTCTCCATTAGTGGAGGACAGAGCCCCAGCCTCCAGCAGGTTACGACCTCCCGGTCTGGTGGGTTCCCTCTTGCAGAAAGAACAACTGCATGTGTGGGGCCATTTCTACAGAGCTACCAAGACTCTGGGGCTCCCTGACATGTGGACATGTGCTCCTGGCTGGTTTCTATGAGCCTACACTGTCCCCACCAGCAATGCCATACTCTCACCCAACTCGGGCGGGTGAAGTCAATCAGACACCCAGCCTCAGAGGCCTGCCTCTGCCAGCCAGGGTGGGGGTACCGGTCTTGCTGACCTCCTGCTCAAGCTGAGATCCAGGAACTTCCAGCCGCAACTCCCGATGCTCGGGTGGTGCCTTACGGTAGGGTTTCTTAGCAGGGGCTGCACTGGTCATTCTGGGAGGTGAGGGCTCCTCGACCTGCTGAGGAGAAGCAAGGAAGGAGGAGACTCAGAAAGGAGAGAAAGTGGCCTCTGGACTGAGGGAAAAGGATGGTAAAAGGGGACATATGTAGGAGCCACCAGGCAGGCAGGCAGGCTTGGGCATTGCTGGGGTCACTAGAAGGGCTGGATTCTGGAGTGTCAGTGCCCAAGGAGTCAGGAAAGTGCTGAAGGGGGGCATGGGTCCAATAGGAACACAGAGGTGGGAAAGGCAGAACCTAGGGCCTGGGCACTAGAAAGAGTATGCTCTGCCCAAGGAGTGAGTAGAGAGTCTGAAGGCAGCCTACTAGTCTCCTTTGGGGGCTCAGAAGGAGACCTGGAAGGGAAAACTGCTCTCTATACATCAGCTTCCTCGACTCTAAATTGGGGTGAGAGTAGCACCAATTTCCTAGGGTTATTGTGAAGATTATATAAAGCACTAAGAATAGTACCTGACACTTAGGAAATGGTCATTAAATGTTAGCTTAAAAAATATAACTGGCCCGGTTGGGCGTGGCTCAGCGGTTGAGCGTTGACCTAGGATCCAGGCGATCAGGGTTCGATTCCCGGTCAGGGCACATGCCCGGGTTGTGGGCTAGGCAGCCGATGAATGACTCTCTCATCATTGATGTTTCTATCTCTCTCTCCCTCTCCTCTCCTCTCTCTGAAATCAATAAAGATATATTTAAAAAAAAAATATATATATATATATATATATAACTGGCCTGGTTGGGCGTGGCTCAGCGGTTAAGTGTCGACCTAGGATCCAGGCGATCAGGGTTCGATTCCCGGTCAGGGCACATGCCCGGGTTGTGGGCTAGGCAGCCGATGAATGACTCTCTCATCATTGATGTTTCTATCTCTCTCTCCCTCTCCTCTCCTCTCTCTGAAATCAATAAAGATATATTTAAAAAAAAAA